CAACGGTTGCTGTGGAGAAGGACAGAAATGCCTAGTTATTCAAAGTTTTTCAAACTAAGTCACATGCAGCAAAAGGGAAGACAACATTTCTTCTGCCAGCTTTTGCACTATGCCTAAAAATCTTATCCTTTCTGCTCCTGCACAAGTACAGTACAGTTGGTGTTTTCTGAGCCTTAGCCTGCAATCACGGTGTCTGATGCTGTAGGACCTCCCAAAGAAGGTTTTTTTTTCTCTTTCCTTGTTCTGAAGTCGTCCATAGAAGAATGCTCCCTGCAAGTCACCTTGCATTACCAAACACCCCTGTCCCATTGAAACACTCCTACTTGAACTGACAAGAAACAGAGGATTTTTCTGGAGAAGTTTTGGAGTGGGGCAGGGGAAAGGTTTGCAGAGAGACACATTCTCCACTTCCATTTCACATGTCCTGCTACATACTACAAAGGTTGATGCTTGCTATACTTCCTCTATTAAATTCTTCTCTAATTTTGAGTTTTAGATGGATGAAGCATCAAAGAAAGAGGCCTTCAGTCACAAGCAGTGGTTAACTTGTTGATGGGGATGCACTGAAACCATCAAAACAATGGGGACTCCATTCATGATAAACGTATACAGCAACGCTGTCTTAGAACTGGAATTTTCTAATCTCCAGCTAAAATGAAATCATAATGCCAAATCAAAGTGGCATGTCCAAAAGGAAAAAAATTAAAAAATAAAAGGTGTGTGAAACAAAATCAAAATGAAAGAGCATGTCTAAAAAAAAAACGGTCAACACATGTTTTGAGTCAAGCAAAAAATGTTTTGCTGAAAGGTTTGCCAAAATCAATACAGGTCTATGAAAGAATTCAGTTTTAGTAAGTCAGTAATTCTCAGCAAAAACAGCGCAGATTTGGGCTTCAGAAATTCAGTGACCTTAGTGTATGAAATTCAGCTCCATTTTGTTGCAGGTGTGTAAGACAAAAACAGTAAACATTTGGATTAAGGCATTTTTGGAGTACAGTGCAATTTATTCTCTGGATGCCATAGTATAAAATGCCCCATCCAAAGTCAGTTGAAGTTTGTGGCAATCTTCTCACAAAATTCAGTGAACTAGATCAGGCAAAACTGGGGTCTGACAGATGGAATTAAATAAATAACCCTGCAGCCCTATGCAAGAACTAGGTATTAAATAGGAACCCGTTAAAAATAAAATCTTTTTTCCTCATACAATGTTTTATTCTCTTATTAGCATAAGTGTTCAGCAACCATAGTTTTAACTTTGTTTTTTTTTAATTGCAAATATGTTAATATGTTGTATGTCCTATATGTTAACACTCAAAAAATGTTTCCTCTGAAGATGGCCTCCAAGGAGCTTCAAGCACTAAGTCATGTGTCTAACCTGAAACTTTTTCAAGCCCTGTCAGACACAGAATTAGGTACTTCTCAGAAAAAAAAAGAACTAAAAAGTCTGGTGAAAGTCTTGGAAGGATGAGATGAAACACATGGATAATGTTTCAGAAACTCAGAGCCATGTGGTTTCTGTAGGGAGAAAACCATTTGCGATCAAAGTGAAGTTGTTTTGTTTTGTTTTGCTTTAATGAGATTTTTAGATTTTAAATCATGTATTATTAGTCTGGGCCATTCTTGTTTTCATCAAGTCAAGACACTTTGTACAATGTAATTTTGTAACCAGAACACTGCTGAAGTTAAAATCCTGAACTTAAGTTAAAAGTTGTCCAACTTGGCCATTTTATTGAAACTAGCGTGCATTATTTTTAATTCAAATTTACTGCTTGGGTAACTGTTTTTCATGTATTTTAATAAATAGGATTCCTTTTTAAAAGTAAGCAAAATACCCAAAATATGGATTAAGTTTTCTTTTAACTACAATTTAAAATTAATATTTTGAGATTTTCAACTAGAGACTATTAATCACAGGATAGGAGCAAAGACTTCAGCAGGGCTGAAGGAAGAAATATCCCCTTTCTCAAATACAGGAATTTTCTTTGTAGTGACTAAAAAAGATGCCTGCTTTGCCACAAATCTATTGCTTCAAACTATGTGTAAATTCAAGCCCTGGATTCATCCTTTGTGGCATTTGTTTTGGTTTCCTTATTCAGGGAATGTAGTGTTACTCAGCATGAGTAAAAGCAGCAGACACAGATCTTTCATCGTTGCCATTTCACTTCCAATTAAACGTGCAACGTGTGGCTGCTACCCTCGGAGCAGAGTCAATGGGAACTTTGCTAGGTGTCACAGAGGAGGCAGAGGAAACTTTATGGGGATGCTGTAAAAAAACAGAGATCACCACATGAACATCTGTGCTTGCAGACCTTAGGCGCTGGCGCTACCTGGGTAGCTGGCCTGATCCTGGCCTGTTCACAGAGGCAGTCTCTGTTTTCCCCTTGAGCTGACAAAGATCTCATAAATACATGTAACAACAACTCTTTTTTCTTCTTTTTCAGCAACAGAGTCTTTTGCTAGTGTGACTGTGTATTCAGGCAAGGGGGGAAACATCACAATGTAATGTGAGACATGGCGAGCACAGTAAGAACGAGAAACGTGGGACTGGAGTTACATAGAGAGTCAAGGTCTTGGCTCGGGCAGTTTTGTTGTCTGGCACAGTGGGAACTGTAAAAGCTTCATACTGAGCTAAAAGTACTCAAAACTTGGGGACAGTGGATTTCATGTGATGGACTACTACACTGAAACAGAAATAACATGAATTTTGGAAGAAACTTCCACGTAAAAAATTATTTGAGACTTGAACTTAAATTCAAACCTCCTGCTGTACTATAGGGCCATTTTTTTCTTCCTCTCCCTTTTTTTGCCCCAGAAAAGGACTGGCTCAAACAGCAGTGAGAGACTCACTACAGCCACTGCTTCAGGCAGCTGCTTTACCTGTGAAAGGCCAAGATGTTGGGCAATGAGTCCTGTTACTCACCAATGGCATAAATCTTTTAGCAAAAGCAATGAATAGTTACAGCTGGCTCCTGTGAGATCCCAAGCACCTTCTGAAAAGGTGAGAGAGCTTTCAGTAACTTCTGAAATATGTGGCAGACAGGCACCCTGAAGGAGGGTATTCAGCATTACACTCCTGTACTTTCCTACATAAACCCAGATGTATTTGGCAAAACCTAAGTCATCTAGGCTGCAGCATTTAATTAATTCTTATGTAATGCTGATATCAATTAAAATTGCTAGAGAGCACCTCACTGTCTATCAACCTGTGTTGGTTCTGTTTAGTTGGGTTTTTTTCCTGTAAAAGGGTGGATAGTCATAGACTGTCTAATTCCTTTCTCTGTGTATCAAGGGGAAGAGTTTGCAGGAAAAGCAGTTCTGTAAAAGGCAACAACTCAGTACTTATCACATTTTTAGAGCAAATGGTATGTCACTAGAATTTGTCAATTAAAACTTACAGAAAAAAAAATGTTGAAAAGGCACACAGTGTTTGAAAGCAGTGGGATTCACACAAACAAAAAGTTGGAAATGTGCCTTTAACGTCTAAGCTGGAAAGATCTGCAGCTATAGTTTGTTCATCATCCACAAAAATGAGGATAGTAAAGGCTGCACGTTTCCAGTAGTTCTGACCTGCAGTCACAGGACTGAGTCCAAAAACCCTAGATATTTGTAGTTAATTATTAAGTTCTGAACTTTTAACTCAACCCAAGTAGCCTTTCCACATTAATGTCAATTGTGCTATTTGAAATCACAGGAACTTCCTTGAACAGATAGGCTTGCAGGAAAACTGTTGAGGAGTCCAACCTCTCCATGCTGCTGAGGAGGATGCCTGTCTCAGGGAAGAAGGATGTTCAGCTGGGAAGAAGCACTCTGATCTCTCAGATGTCATGCATCTAAGTGATGGGATCCTTTCTTAACAGACACCTGTGATATTTGAAAGGGTTACACAGAAACTTACATGTTGCACACCATGAGATGCATGAATGGGTTTCTGGAGGTGTAGGGAAATGACAGAAAGAAATGTAGGAGTGATGTTCTGGAGGAGGCCAGGTAGATGAGACCAAGACCTCAATGATGGTTGTGTGTGGAGCACTGCCAGTTTCAGGAAGGCCAGGCAGAGAGGTAGGGATCTGGAACTGATGCACAGGTGAGAAGATAAAGGGAAGAGAAACACAGATACACTCAACGCTGATGAACCTTTTGGGACAAAAGGATCTTATGAAAGGATAGGATGGAGCTGGGCTGCTGTGACTGAAGATCGATGAGTCTAGAGAAGAATATTTAACCCCAAAGCCAAAGTAAAGCTGACAGGTGTGGAGAAGATCTGCTTTAAACTGATGTAGTTTACCAGATGAATGTGTCAAATGCTTGATGTGCCTTTGAAAATACCAGGCTTGATGTGCCTTTGAAAATACCAGGAGGGAAACAAGCAGCAGTTAAAAAGGCAATTTAGAGCATCCATAGAAATAGCTGACTGGCACATGAAACATTGAACAAGTGTGAGGAGAACTTACTTAGAGTTGCTTCAGAAACCTAAAAAAAATGACAGGACAAAATGCCCAGAATCCAGATATGACCCAAAAATTATCAGAATCTCAGAGAGGTGAAAAATTCCAATCTTGCATGCAGTCTGTAAGTAGCCTCTCTTATTGGCATCACTGGAGACAGAATACTGAGTTAGAAACAATCGTTCACCTCATCAAGTAGGATGTTTCTTCTGCTCTTATGTTCATTGGCATGACACACAGATACCAGGGTGCACTCAGGCACCTACATGTGTAGCACCCACAGAGTCAGAGTGACTGTGGCTGCAGTGCATCACTCTATGTAAGAACACTACTCAGGCTGAAATCTTACCATTAAAACCTTATCACTGTCTGCCAATATTGCTTTAAGACATTCAATCTGGTTTGTTTTTTCCTCTCTTTTTTGTAAAGCCATAGTCATAAAACATTTTTTAAAAAAAAATAAACTGGAACAAAACACACAATAAGGACAACGCTTTTCAGGGTTAGCATGGTGAGCACACTGAAAATTGTAACTGAAAAAACAAAAAAGCTTACGTTCATAGCAGTAGGCATCAAACTTGCTATCTGGGTAAGGAAAGCCTGTTTGGTTCTCATAGCGATACAGGGTTCTCACCCCAAGTAAACCTCCACCACACTGGGGCCGTGCCACGGAGGCCGGGTAGCGGACGCTGCCGTCCGCCAGCCAGCCGTAGTCGCACTGGTCGAAGCCGCGCCTCCAGGCGACGTACATGTTCCCCACAGAGGCCAGGACCCCGTCCCGCTGCCGACACAGCTCCTGGGCTTCCTCGAAGGTGAGCTTCTCGGGGACTGTGACGTGGACCACTTCATCTGCAGGAAGAACACGAAGATAACAAAGGCTGAACATCGCATTCCACCCTCAAGGCAGCTTAGCTCCCCTCTTCCAGTCAGTGGCCAGGAAGGCTGAGGTTTTGTTCCGAAATCTATCTGAGTAGTTGCTTGCTCAAAAAGAAATCAGGTAGTTGGAAAATCGAATGTGCCAGATTTGAATATGAAAATGAACTTTCACAAAGCATTTGTATGCAAACTTCATGCCTTGAAGTACACTGTGGCTGGAAACTGAGTCCCTCCCTCAGTCTCTAGGCAGAGGCAACAGCAGCCGTGAAGCTCCTCTGTGACCTCTGTTTGAGTAGACTTTACAGCTCAAGTGCTCTAATTAAATCCAGTCCAACAGAATTTACTTTCTCAGTAAAACAAACCTTCTACATCTGCAAGCCTCTCACCTGACCTTTTTAGTCATCACTAGATTTTCACTTGAAACACACAAAAAAAAATCAGATGCTGTTCACTGGCTGCTCCACAGCAGCTTCTAACATCATATTTCCATCATTCACCTGAAATCAACATGTTCATCTGTAGAAAACAGTTCAAATTCTATATGTTTGTTACAAGAAAGCAATTCTCTTCCTCAGCCACAGCAGGCCAAAACACCACAGTCACTGTTGCTGGAAAGCTTTGCTTATTCATATTGAACACACAATCTGTCTTACCTCTGCAGTCATCTCAAAGCAACCTAGCAAATGGCAGACAGAAACTACATTACCTCAAGCAGTTTCTTTCACATCAATATTATGCTTGTTTCAGGCTAGAAAGGAACGCAGGTGTGAAGTGAGGCAAAGTGCCAATTCTCTTTTTCCTCCTAGGTAGAAACTCTGTTTTGTTATTACAGCTGTATCAATTACAATATCAATTCCATAGTGTGAGTTTCTTTGTACACGTTGTTGGGAGTTTCTAACCTAGAGGTAAAGGGATGGAGCATGTCTATTGGAGAGGGTCAGAAAAGGAAAGCAAAGAATCATTTATTCCCACAATCACCAGAATGTTTCATTCAGCTCTTCAGACCACACAGCAGATGTACTTTTTTATTAAACAGTTCTGCAGAAAATAACTTTTTCTGCATCTAGGGGCAGACCTGGAATTATAGCCAATACTATCCCCCCGCACCCTCCAAACTGCAATATCATGAAATTAAGCAAAGGAAGACTTCTCCAGAGCAGTCCCCTCTCCTCTGAGGACTATTCCCTAATCCTCTCACAGAACAGCCTTGACATATACAAAAACTAGTAGCTAAAATGATTGCAATTAAGTCATAGAATCATAGAATCATAGAGTCATAGGGGTTGGAAGGGACCTCGAGAGATCATCTAGTCCAACCCCCCTGTCAGAGCAGGGTCACCTAGAGTACATCACACAGGAAGGTGTCCAGGTGGGTTTTGAATGACTCCAGTGAAGGAGACTCCACAACCTCTCTGGGCAGCCTGTTCCAGTGCTCCGTCACCCTCACAGTGAAAAAATTTTTCCTGAGTGAAAAAATTTTTCCTGAATATAAGGTATTAGACAAGTTAGACAAGAAAATGACACAGGTAAGAAAAACAATGCACTTTAATGGCTTCTAGAAACAGATATGATGGGGATCAAACACCAAATAAAGTCAAACAAACCCACAACATTCCTCCTGGGAGAAACTTATTGAATACACAAGAAAACGGGTAAGCAGTGCAAGGCAAATAGCAAAGCAATTTCTTCATCGACTGATCTGGATCAATGCCTCCAAATGGAGCTTGTGCATGGTATCATTAGTTTGGGGTATTTGCTCCTCTTAGCTCTCATCTGCACTCTGTTAAAGCAAAGAAACCTAGTTAGCAGTTATGTCGTGCTCCAACTTCAAATGAAGGGTTCAGTCACTACTTCTGTAAGAGAGTTCACTTTGCAGAGGACTTACTTGTCCAAGCTGCACAAGAGCATTTCTATATGGAAATCTGCCTTAAATTTACCTTGGAATATGCTTATATATGCAATATTAATAATATGCACGTTTAAAAGATGGGTGGCATATCTTTCTTTGTATTGAATCTCTTCTACTGGTGCCACAGGTATGTTTTTTGTTCATCTCTTCAAGTCACCTGCTGTCATACAGATACTATCTTTGTAAAAGGGCATTTTACCAAAAGATAAAAAAAGCCGGTGTGTTTAAGGAGAAATGCATCATAACCAGAACAGTTCAATAAATGAAGTCCAAAGTCACATTCTTTGCTATTTGACATAGTAAAGAATTTGAGATGATAAATTCATGAAGACAAAAAGGTGGCAGACGAATCAGCAAAGTGCCCTTAGTGTCATTCCATCGTACACCAAGTAAATACTCATTTATTTCACAAATGCTAGTGATAAGATAAAGGGTACAGAGGTGTTAACCAGAGCAACTGCAAGCTGCCATGTTTTAAAGTGTAGTTTTGTGTGATTCCAGAATTCTTATTTTAAAAAATCCAGTAAAGTGCAAAAGTCAGATTCCAAATAACATTTACTCTAGAGATATGACTCAAAAATTTGTCTGTTCAATTTGAAAGGAAATTAAAATTCTGCATGGTAAGTGTGTGCTTAATGTGCATAATAAGTGTTGGAATGAAATGTGAAAATCAAAGCAAGAGTTTCATAAAGGCCTTGCATGTCTGTAATCTTCCAAAACCACCTTACAAAAAAAAAAAATTTTGTTTTCTGTTGAGCACTTGGGAAGAAAACAGTGTTCAAAACACCTCTTCAGAGGAATGGCAGTTTGATTCATAGCATCTCTATATTACGTGATGAGAGCTCGCACAAGCTTTCCGGCACTTCTCACCTGGAGCAGACTGTTGACTTCATGCACTGCAAAGTCAGCACCTCGGGGATGTGGTGACCCACATGGCACAGAGGCAACTGACCTGGACCTACTGCTGCTCATGTGTAGCAAGTGCCACCACTTGGAACGTGCAGGGATGACATTTTGCTACCCATGTTGCCTCTGACATCATTAGTGCTGAGACATTTGCTCACCACCAGTCTCCTTGGTCAGAAAGAGAGGACTACCAAAATATTTTGGGTATGTGTTCTGGAAATGCTACTTATTAATCCCCACAGAAACATGGAAATTCAGTTTGTTGTATGTGAAAAAGGTGCTAGTCCTACTTCACTGTCAACATGGTTTTTTACTCTTATAGTAAGAGCCTGGGTTGGAAACCACACTGCTCCTCAGTCAGCCTACACAAAGGCTGGGCAATAGAGCAGGAAACACAGAATAAGGTTTGTGAGGAAAGGTGCCCATCACTGGAGGAAGAACAGTGAGAAGTTCTAGGAACTTCCTCTTGCACCACTAAGCCCTTAGGGAAAAATTGTACCATGAAGCTCAGGGGCTGTTGAGCTATTTCATGGACTCAACCTCAAAACTGACAGAGGCTTCCAAGAGGCCATGGAAAAAGGACCTGTACTCCAGTCCTGACTTCCAGCATGTCAATCAGTGTAGCTGAAGCATGCTGACTATTTCAAAGTACCAAATAGAAAAGAATTTGACCCTTACATAAGAACTCCCTCTAAAATGAAAAAAGAAGGGGGGGGCATGGAGAAAGTGAAACTAATAAAATTTATTTAATCCATAAAGTCTCTAAAATTGACTACTATTTTTGGAAGCAAAACAGGTTCCATAGTTAGCAGGAGGTTTCATCCTGTTACACTCTATCTTTATTGCAATGTTTGAAAGACCTCAATTTCCCAGCCAAAACACTGAAAATAAGGAAATTAAGAGAGAAAATTTTTCTGGTAGGTAAACAAATGACATAGCCACCAACACCAAAGCAGAGCAGACTCAATTTTGTGTGTTAAAAGTCATAGGCAATGTTTTTATAGCTGGAGTACACTTGGAGTAGCTTAGCAATATTACACATGCAAAGCCCCGGGCTTAAAGCAGCAGATGAGGGGAAAGTCGTTCTACAGTACCACAGGGTGAACTGGAGACCGTGACAATGTTTAGACTGCAGACAATATGTAGTGTATATTATTGCTGGCTCCTGTTTAAAACCAAGCTTCAGGCTGATCTTTCAGCCTCAGTGGTCAGAGCACTTGAAGAATCCCCAGGATTTTCCTGTTACACGTGTTTGTTTTGCTTAGTTAAAACAGACACCTGATGAAAGTCATGCTTTTTCCCCTCTTTTTTTTCAGATACATCAAGCCAGATGAAGCAGCCAGGTTTTTCTCTTGAAGACAAAAGCTGATTCACTACTACCCCCAAGGAAAAAGCTTAAGATCTACAGACTTATCAGCTGGTTTTATAGCAAGCTTCATTCCTTTGAAGGTTAATTCACTTATTCTCTCTCATGAGGAGAAGAGCTGGGCATGTTTGTAGATGTGAATTTCATGAATCACACATCTTAAAAGCAAGCACAGGAATAAAAGCAGGCTAGAACCATAGCCAGGGGTCAACACACAACATGTATTGACTAGGTTAGAGGTAATGAATCTAGATGTAAGCCCTCCAGCACAGACTTCACCAGTAATTTATTTTTCCATAGATGAAACCGTAGTTCAAGGGACTGGTGAGCTGCAACTTCCTAGAGAACATCTTTGAGTCTGACTATGTGGATGGAACTATTCTCCCAGCACAGAGCACCATCTACTCATCTTCACATACCTTCACCCACTGTGCTGAACGAAATGAGCTACAAGTCATTTGCACCTGGCAGATGAAGGAATCACATGCAGGTCGATGACAAAAGTTTACAGGAACCTGAAGGATTCTCACAAACTGCAAAGGAGCTGCAAGTCCCTTACTGAATGCTTTTGACACACCTGGTAACACACCAACTGCTGTGGATAGTCACTGATCAACCAGCTGTGCAATGTCCTTGTTATTATTCAGTCCATGTGAGGCAATGACAAATACTAAGGAGATACTTATATTCAGTTGTAATATTTTTAGTCCTCTTCCCCCGTTTTGCTCTCAGCAGAATAACAGGAGCCTTCTTTACTACTGCCTCTGAATCTGGCAGCTCTCCTTTTCTGAG